GACCAGAGTATAACTTTACAGAATTCAGATCATTATATTCGTACGGAAGGCAATATATTGATATCCTTTCCAGATTCTCAAGAAAACAGATAAGACAGATATTCACCTTTATGTCTCTATGGAAACACGACAGGTACCCTTACGAGGGGAGAGTATCAACTCGGCGTTTATAAACCCTCTCTGCAAAGGAGGTAGACGCATGGTGGGTTAGGTATATACAGTGTTCTTCATTGCAGAGAAAATTGTTGTTTATCTGTCTGTCTCGTCTTCATTGAGATAGTTCATTGATTAATTAATTACAAAAATATATAGCGTTCCAGTTATGAATGTTGAAAACAATATCCAGACTTTTCATAGATTCATATTCTATGTAGGTCTCACGATTCAAATTTGAAATTTATACTTAGTTTTAGATCTGAGCAGCACATTGTTTGGCCTTCAAGGTCCTTAATATAACCCACGTAATTAAACATGTGGAAGATGCCTACTGAAAAAACCACTATACGGAAAGAAAGCGGATATGGAGCAATCTAGTTACGGTCGTTGAAAATATTATTCAGGTACGTCTCAGATTCAACATCTTTGTATTTCCTCTAATGATGTTTTCTGATTGAAATGTACTTCGATTTAAATGTGATGTTTAGTTGCAGATCCAAGAAGCAGTGTTTTATACTTGCCACTCGCTCGGAGAAAACCATCCAGTAAATACGGACCGAACAGAAGATCCGCAAAGAGGACTGACCAGATGAGTATACTTTACAGAATTCAGATCATTATATTCGTACGGAAGGCGATATATTGATTACCTTTCCAGATTCTCATTTCTCAAGCAGACAGACAGACAGATATTCAGTTTTATGTCTCTATGGAAACACGACAGGTACCCTTACGAGGGGAGAGTATCAACTCGGCGTTTATAAACCCTCTCTGCAAAAGAGGTAGACGCATGGTGGGTTAGGTATATACAGTGTTCTTCATTGCAGAGAAAATTGTTGTTTATCTGCCTGCCTCGTCTTCATTGAGATAGTGGATGAATTGATGAATTACAAAAATATATCGCGTTCCAGTAACGAATGTTGAAAACAATATCCAATATTCTATGTAGAGGTCTCACGATTCAAATTTGAAATTGATCCATAGTTTTAGATCCGTGCAGCACATCGTTTGGCCTTCAAGGTCCTTAATATAACCCACGTAATTAAACATGTGGAAGATGCCTACTGGAAAAACCACTATACGGAAAGAAAGCGGATATGGAGCAATCTAATTACGGACGTTGAAAATATTATTCAGGTATGTCTCAGATTCAACATCTATGTATTTCCTCTAATGATGTTTTCTGATTGAAATGTACTTCGATTTAAATGTGATGTTTAGTTGCAGATCCAAGAAGCAGTGTTTTATACTTGCCACTCGCTCGGAGAAAACCATCCAGTAAATACGGACCGAACAGAAGATCCGCAAAGAGAACTGACCAGATGAGTATACTTTACAGAATTCAGATCATTTTATTCGTACGGAAGGCGATATATTGATTACCTTTCCAGATTCTCATTTCTCAAGCAGACAGACAGACAGATATTCAGCTTTATGTCTCTATGGAAACACGACAGGTACCCTTACGAGGGGAGAGTATCAACTCGGCGTTTATAAACCCTCTCTGCAAAGGAGGTAGACGCATGGTGGGTTAGGTATATACAGTGTTCTTCATTGCAGAGAAAATTGTTGTTTATCTGCCTGCCTCGTCTTCATTGAGATAGTGGATGAATTGATGAATTACAAAAATATATCGCGTTCCAGTTACGAATGTTGAAAACAATATCCAATATTCTATGTAGGTCTCACGATTCAAATTTGAAATTGATCCTTAGTTGAAGATCCGAGCAATACATCGTTTGGCCTCGAGTTTGGCCTTAAAGGTCCTCAATATAACCTACTTACGTAATTGATAATGTGGAAGATGCCTACTGGAAAAAACACTATTCGGGAAGAAAGCAGATATGTATCAATCCAGCTACGGACGTTGAATATATCATTCAGGTATGTCTCAGATTCAACATCCATTTAATTCATCTAATGATATTTATTTCCTGATATGAATGTACTTCGATTGATATGTGATGTTCTGTTGCAGATCAGAGAAGCAGTATTTGATACTTGCCACTCAATCGGAGAAAACCATCCAGTCCATAGGAACCCCCGGTGATATTATGGAGCAGTCGAGCGAAGGCGAGATCATACAAATTTTAAGACATTTCAACATCCATGTTAGTGATTTGATGGAATATTCGGAAATGAAGGAAATGCTGACAGAGTATATTTAAAAAACTTACAAGGACCAATTCCATGAAGCCGACTACAGGAGCATTCTTTCAGAGATTTCAAGAATCATACCAAATGATGTTTCGAATACAAAGAAGATCAATAGACTTGAAGAAATTCTGATCGTCAAATTAGTTGAAAATAATAAAAAATATGATTCGCTGGAAGCAACATTTCCAAACAATATCATGCCTCATGACATCATCTCCTCAGAAGACACATCAACTGGACATTCCAAGAAAGAGCAAGAGTCAATTATCAATTAACCTACCAACTTTCTGGAAACATGAGCCTGCATTATGGTTTACTGTTGCTGAATCGATTTTTGAAACTCACGGAATAATGTCACAGAGAAATAAATTTGGGAAAGTGATTTCAATGTAGGACTGCAATATTAAGCTCTGGGTTGGTTTTGTAGGTCTCTCTGCATATGTTTTTTTTCCTAATATCCATTCGTTTCAAACACACTGTGTATTTTTTAAATATTCATCAATAAGATTTTAATCTGCCGCTGGGTCTGGGTTTTCTGATCACCCTGTAATAAATTATAATATTCCATTTGGTACAAGATATTTGATCTGCCTCTGGAATTCAGCTCGCTCTGTATATGATATTTCTATTATTCGTTCAGCTCAAAGGCACTGAGTATTTTTTCAATTTCCATCAATAAGATTTTGATCTGGCTCTGATTCTTCAGGTCACTCTGTGATAAATTATAATATTCCTTAAGGTTGAAGATGTTTCATCTGACTCTGGATTTGTAGGTTACTCTGTATGTTTTTTCTGATATTCATTCGTCTCGAACACACTGTATATTTTTGTATATGTTTTTCCATATTTCAGTTGGTTCAAGATATTTGATCTGCCTCGGATGGAACTATTTAACTGTTTCACATTTAGAGTGAGAGGAGACGAGGATCTGTCCCTACCCTGTTAAGAATTTCCATCAAGGGACTCTAATATTTAGCAGACAATATTCAAGTCAATTGATGCTACATGGATGGGTCTTAGGTCTACTAGTCAGAATGTCAGAAACATAGTTGAATTGGAAAGGCTCTCAAAAAACTAGTACGAACTACTACATACCACTGAATGAGTGGCTTCTTGCTTTGTGTCTAGGTTTAATATCATTAAGGGTGCTGCAGCCCTGAAGTTATATATTGAATCATGTTATAATTTTATTTCAATTGAATACCTGAGCACATAGGGATGGATTACAATTCACAAGGAACCGTGCCCAATAATAAAGATGCCAGGCTGCCAGGAAAACTACTAAAGTGGGTTAAAAAATCCAGTCCGATTGAGCAATTCCATATGATAAAACAACTATACAGTTTTATAATCTATGGTTCATGCAATAAAAAAACTCACGACTGAGGGATAACTATAGTAAAGGGAAAGGGTGATGAAAAGGTTTTTTTACGAAGATGTCTCCAAAACATATTGCTCAGTGATTAGTATGGGTTGAATGTCCTATTGGTACTAACCTTCGCTTTTCTTTGGGAGCCTTTGCTTTCTTTTCCATAACAACTGGTGTATTTCTTAGTCACTGCCAAGGAAATACACTAAATGCACATCAAAACAACTGGAATCCCAATTATTCCACAAAATCTTTCACATTCAATATAATAAATAGTCTATGCACTGTGGTAAACTAAACTTTCAATGTGACGACCTATGTACACTGACTGTACACCATACATAAGAACGATTGACGAATGAAAATTGAAAAGTTGATAAGTAAACATAAAATCAAAGGACAGGACTTACGACAGATGACGTGATGACGAATTCAGAATTGACCTCTGCCACTGACTGCGACGTTGCCGGTATCTAAATTGAGCGGCAAGGATAAAGTTTGTTAATCTGTGGCAAGGAGGAAATTTTGGAGAAAATATTTCATCAGATGGGAGCCGTTGTTAATCTATGATCAGATATAAAACTCTGAGATGCAAATGCACAACGAATACGAATTTACTGAATATAACAGATGAATAGTTATTTTTCTAACAAGTGCGCAAAATGTTACCTACTTTTCGGCACGCAAACTCAGTTAAGCGAACGACGGGAAGCGGAGTTCGTTTAAGTTTTTGCAAGCGGAAAATTATATGATACTTTGCGCACTTGTCAGAAACAACATTTTTTCTACAAGCATATTTATACCAGATAACAAAGAAAATGAAAAAATGGAACTTACAGAAGGGCATGCCAGTGAGATTTTTGAGTAGTCTTACTTTTCCGCATGCACACAGTGCGGAAAACATTTTTATCCGCACGGCGTGCAAAAAAAAGTGTAACATTGTGCACGCAAATGCATGCAGAAATGTACTTCTTTCCGCACAGTCATAGAAAACATCATTTTCAAAGAATAAAAGATATCACAAAAAATAATCATTTCTGTTCATTATTTATACAGAGTGTATGAAAATTTACATTTTGAATTATAGGTATTTCAGGTTAGGTGAGAGAAAATAATGAGAAGAAATCAATACCTATATTTCCAGTTCATCTACAGTATTTTATCACTTGAAAAAAAAATGGTTGATATAAATACATTTAACCATCATCTTCAACTTCACTAGAAATCAAGTTCCTATACTAACATACATGAAAAATAAAACCAAACTGCTGAACAAAGTCATTGCTTATAGAAAATCAGAAGTATAACAATGATAACATTAGTTTGAACTAGTAGCTGCTGGTGGTTGAGGTTCACTCTTGTTTTCTACTTTATTATCAACATCACCCAAACTTTTCATATCATCATCATCAGCCAAGTCTTTGTTGTACAAGGTTGGGTATTGCTGCATACAACTTTGCATGGTTTTGAAAAGCTCATAGCAATCACTACCTTTAGGTTCTGCTTCTGAATAATGAAAACAACTAAATGCATTTCTAAATTCCACCCCACAAGGACCCGTTGCCATCCCCCCCAAACATGGACAATTCCAATTTATATCTCCATTAGGTAATATTAGACCTGGCTGGGGATCAGGCTCTGGCAGTTTGACTTTACTAGGAACTTGGTGGTCTTCTTTGGTGGCAAATATAACAATATCCTTGTTATTGGGACCCATCTTTCGGCAATGTGACATGTTTTTCAGTGGTTGTAGTTTCTGCTATCTCCTTGGAGCCCTAAGAGGAAAGGACTAACCTTGTGGATGATGTAGCAACAGACTGTACCTTCGTATCTGCTGGCTAGGGTTAGGCTGCTCCTTAACTTGACGTAATGAGATTTGGGTACTCTCAATATTCCTCTTCTTCCTTCCTTGTCAAATTTCAATAGATCAATATCAACTGCTGAGCTGACTTCACCAAACAATTGGCATAGGGCTTCCGTGATGTTTTTCTTGAAATATACGGGTGATACTTCAGATCCGTAAGGATCCGGGAATTTTCTGAAAAATTAAATTAAGGTTAGATTAGTAGATGAATGTAGTCAATTTCTACTAACAAAGACAAATCGATGTAAAAAGAATTAGCCATAATTCAATTATCTCGTAATGATAAAATTAAAGCCTACGAAGAAAAACAATAAAAATTAACTACAAAATCTAGAATTTACCCAAATTTACCAAAATTTCATGAAGTGAAAAGTGAGGTTATTAATATTTATGCCAATCATATCAAAAGAAAAGAAGAGAATACAGATGTCACAGAACTCACACAGAAGTGCACAGAACCAAAAAAAAATTATCAGAGTGCACTGAGTGCCAGGTACTATTACAGAATTTGTTCTATGGACAGTACACACTACCAACCTTGTTATACACTATTCGAAATCACGATTCGATTTGATTTGTACAATTCTAATTTGCCTATTTGTGCATATTTTGATTGTGACATAGTGCAAAAGTTGTGCGCAGTGGGAGGAAACTGAATATTGTGAACAGTTATTTTCGGATTGGTCTCACTTTTTTGTTCGTGTTCTGTGGCTAAATGATGCGTCCATTGTAAATGTGTTGGCGACACTGACGCATATTTTTTTAGATTTTTGGAGACGCGGTGAATGATACATGACAGTTACCATGTCTAGTGAAGGCGATTCTGCTAAAAGTGTAATATCTGAGGTAATTATGTTTTTTTAATTTAATCGGTATGATAGGTAATAATTTATAATGTTGTGAAAAAATCTAGTGCATGCAATAACCTCCTTAGCTCTGTAGATATCTCTACAACAAATATGTTTGTTTTCCTCAATACAATATGGCGGTGTTGATATTTGAAAAAGCGGGAAACAAAAACGCAATAAAGCCGATAGACTTCCTGCACCAGTCACCCTTGATAATTCGAAATGAATTTGTTACAGTCCATTGAAAAAAGTGGGACAGATCACAACACGGATTCATCCCAAGATTCCCAGGATGTGAAGGATACCCTTGCCTCCAAAGCTCCTGATGCTCCTTCAGAAAACAACACGGATAAGCAAAACGATGATGTAAAACCAAAAGAGGAGTCCAAAACGGAAAATGACACCTCTGAAAAGGCGCCGGTAGCTGCCGAAAAATCAGTTACTGACAAAAATGAGAGTTCTGAAGATGCTGAAAGTGAGGAGGAGGTCAAAGACAAAGAGGAAAAAACCCCTAAAGATAAAGAAAAGGAGAAGAAAGAAGAGGAGAAAGGCAAAAAAGATAAAGAGAAGAAGTTGAAGGAGAAGGAGGAAGAAAAGAGTGAGGATAACAGTGAGAAAGAGGATGAGGATGATGAGGATGAAGTAGAGGAAAATGAAGGAAAGGATAATGCAAAAGAGACTAATAATAAAGAAGTACCCCTGTTGGATCAACCTTTAGAGAAATCCGGCAAGAGAGAACGCAAAACCATTCAGCGCTTCAATGAAGAATTTGCATCTGAACCAAAAGAAGGGGTAAGTCAAAGAAATGTACATATCTCAAACATCTCCAATTTTGTATATCTTTTTTGCAGGCCAAATTAGAGATTACAGAAGGAGCAGGGACTGCTCTTGGGGAAATACCACGCATAGAAGCCTCCATTGTACGCTTCAAGACTGATGACCTGAAATCTCTACATAAACTTCTGTTCAAGATGCCAGGAAAAAATAACATCATCAAGAAAAACATAAGAAAATTCAATGGTTTTGATTTCAAGAAGGATACTGAAGAGTATGAGAAAAAGTTGGCTTATGCTCTTAAGTTTGAGAGCAAACAGTTGAAGAGCATGTGTGAGATGCTGGATTTGGTCAAAACTGGCTCTAAAGATGAAATAGCTCAAAGAGTGGTGGATTTCCTGCTGGAACCCAAAGATTCTGGAAAACCAGTTGATGGTGGAAGACCAAAGAGAAGTGCTGCTGTAAAAGCAAATAATAGAGGTAAGTCTTTTGTTCTAACACTTTAGCTTTATCTGATTCACTAAGTAAATATTCTCATGGAATAACAAAACATTTCCTGAATGTTGTCTCATAATGAAATTTGTTTCTGGTTGAAAAGTACAAGTGAATAAACAATTGCAGTATTAGCATAATAGTAAGAATTTTGAATTGCAGTGTGAAGGATGAGAAATTTGTTCAAGTAGTTTGATTGAAATTTACCTTATGAATTTTATGATCATTTCCCTGAACTGAATAAGAATCTTTATTTCTTATTTATTTCAGTGATTGCATTAAATTCTCTTCTCCATTGATACATTTCATACAAATAATAATCATTACCCTAACTGAATAAGAATCTTTATTTCTCATTTATTTCAGATATTGCATTACATTCTCTTCTCCATTGATACATTTCATACAAATAATAATCATTACCCTAACTGAATAAGAATCTTTATTTCTCATTTATTTCAGATATTGCATTACATTCTCTTCTCCATTGATACATTTCATACAAATAATATATAAAGGGTAATTAATTTTCTAGTAGGAATGACATGAATGATCAGACAGTATTTCCTGGTATAAAATCATTCATGAAGTATAATTGAAATTACAAATAGTGAACAAAACTTACATATTATTAAGATATCTCAAAATAACAGTCATATTATAGTGAACAAGATGGGGAAAAATAAAAACAGTGAAAAAAAAAGGAAATTCATAGTCTTTCAGCTTTGATCATTCCTTTGCATATAAAAATATTTCTTCACTTTATTTTTGAATTGCATAATATTTGGGCTGTTTTTGATATCATCTGGTAATTTATTGAATTTAAAAATCACCTCATGTGTAAACTTTTTTGCCCAAGTTTAGAATTTGCAGCTTCAAGATGAAACAAGTTATATTGTCTAGTGTGATGATCATGAATTTCGGAATTCCTGATTAATATAAAATTTGATTTAAGCTTTCTGTTGATATAATAGGAAATTTTGAGAGTATTGATTAAAAAGTGCTCTTCCAAAGAAAATGTGTTGTTTCCTTATTCAGTTGATTCGTTGGAGTATCATATCAATACTTTCAATGCCTTTTTATAGAACAGAAATTTTGTTGAAACTATTTTTGGAACAAGATTCCAAATATTTATGAAATAGTTAATTTGACTGAGTATATGTGAATATAGAATAATATTTGATGTATATGTACTAAGTTTAGGACATCTTCTTAAAGCACCAATAATGGGAGATACTTTTCCTATGAGGATGTCAATATGCTTTCCCCATGTAAATTTCTCATCAATCCAAATACCAAGGTATTTTTGTTTCAAAGGTTCATTTTTTATTCTAATATTCAGATCAATATTTTGTTTATTTCTTTGAAGAAAAATTATATATTAAGTCTTATTAGAATTAAGAGAAAGAAGATTGGAATAAAGCCATTTCTCAATTTTTTCAAGTACTCATTTATAATATGTTCTAGAACTACTGGGTTTTTATTCTCATCTGAAAGTCAAAAGTGTTGATTTTTTTACTGGCTTGTGATATAGTTCATTTCTTTCTACTACTTGAAACAAATTATTTGAAGTAAGTTGTTACCATGTACAACATAATAAATCAATGAAAATTATAATTTTTTCTTCTGAGAAAAAAATGCCCTCTTGTAACTCCTTATTTTTTTACATTTCATGCAGGATATTCTTCACATGATGATTATTCTAGTGATGAAAAGCAGGCGTCTAGGGCTCGGCGAGATAAAGGTAGCTATAAATATAGATGTTTTGCAATTTTTCCAGCATGTACCTGGTGGTGCTTTACTCATTGAAGTCCTGTTGCAGATCCTTTGTATAATACCTGTAACACCAGTTATTCTTTTAGTTTTTTAGTGTATGTATATTTTGCCTGGAATAGATAAATGTATTAGATACTAATTTTAGTGCTGAGGACACAGTAGCTTGACAGCTGACATATTTGAAAAACTGCTTAAATTGGTAATGGAGATGGGTTTTAGTTGTTATGCTTTGATAACATATTAACCAATTTACAGTTAGTCAATTGTTAACTTGGATGGAAATGTGATTTTCTATGTTTACTAGAGATTTTATAGAGTTTTTTTAAGGCATGTGATATTGATTTCACACTTGAACAAAATATCTTAATGTCATGTCCTGAACCAAAATTGGTTCCTGAGGTTGATTCAAACCTAAAATTGAAGAATATTGAAAAATTTAGTAGGTACTGGCTAATCCTAGAAATGTTGTATTATTTCACAGCACAGAGTAGTAGATTTTTTGCTCCCTAACGAAAATACAATACATACAATTATTCATTAGCAAAATTACACTTGAAATGTGGGACACAATTCCCAATAAATATTTATTTCATGGAATGACAATAATTGCATTTGATGGTCTGCTAACACAATGACTTGAATTTTCTGACCAAAAGATGATATTCATTATGGTTTGAAATATATGAGTTACATCTCCATTTTAAAAGGACTACATGAAACTATAGGGAGAATGACTGTGAAAATCACTGAAGTTTTGGTATATTGTTGATCCACTATTCAAAACTTCCAATTGACACGACCCCCTCAAAAATGAATCTAAATTTTCAAAAAGTTATTTCAGGAAGTCAATAGCCTGAAAGCAAAATGCATTTTCAAACATTGAGTGCGTTGATTTTCAGAGCTTTTTCCACAGAGACACTGCTTGAGTCAACAGTACAAATAGTATATTCCCAATAGATTTATTATTACAAACAATCCTACCAAGTTTCAAGATAATAATGAAAATATGTTTGTGTGACTCATTCTACAGTTTCTTTATTTGAATTTCAAGAAGTTTACAGACAAAAATTGTTTCTAGTCCAATTTCACATGTGCCTTGAGTTTGAACATTCTATTACAACTTTTAATTTTTCAATTTCTATTGCTTGTCTGTAATATTGAAAAAAATTAACATCAACAAAACTTTCGTTCTAGTAGCTTTATCCCACTACTAACTTTCAATTACTAATTATCATGATTTTCTTCAGAAAATATAAAATCCCCGCTTAAAATTTTTGTCGAAATTAAAAGAAGAAATCAAAAAGTATCAAGAACTAAAAGTTGCAAATCTAACGCCCAAGTCAAATTTCTGAGGTTACATGGGCCAACATTGACACAGGGAAAAAAGAAATGACTCCTTTTCATAAATTATCATCACTCTATAACTTCCTGTGTGGCTTACTTTTGGTAGATTATTACCAACATTTTTTTATTGCCCAGCGTGAAAGCATAAATATCAGGTATTGAAAATGACTTATCATGTTCTTAGATTCGAATGTAAGGTAACCCTATAAACATAGAACGCTATTTGACATGACTTGAGTCGTTTTGACATTGGTAAAAAAGGATGCACCTTTTTTATCACTGTCAATAAAACTGCCTGTTCCTTTCATCTAGTAGGTATGCGCCTGATGTCACTAGAATTTCTGTCATGTCAAATTTGATTGTTGAATATTGTTCACGCGTAAATTAGCTGAGATAGATGAGCCGTTTTAGGAAAATTTCAATCACGAAGCTACGCTGGCCACTATAATATATTCCTACACCTCCTTATACCTACCAAAAAAGGTCCCTGTATACTTCACCCGAGTACAGATTCATTCAAAACCACGTTTCTCCAGATTGGTCTTGAGAATTTCCAGCATATAAAATGTTCAAAAACGTTTTTTATCATCTGAACTTGAAGAGGATGATGAGCTGGAGCTCATATGCCTATTGCTCATAATCTGTATTGAAGTTTTTCAATGATTCCATTCTTCATCTCTTTCAAAATTGTATCTCTAACTAAGTAAACTTAAAGGTTGAATTCTGTCTCATGCCCATACAAAATTATTCAGTCATGGACAGTTCTTGCCTAGAGGCTCGTACTTTTTTTTTACCGATTCGGAATTATCTCAGAGTGGTACGTGTTAGACGAAAACACATTATCTGTGGAATTCGAAACGGTCCTGAGAACATGTTTCTTTGTCACTGCGCATGCTTCTGATGGTTTCGGACTGTTACTTTTGTGAACGCGAACAAACCTATCATAACTGTCATGAATAACTTTGGATGCGCATGCGTCTATGCCCCAGATTTTCATTTTTTGAGACTTTTGAGTTTTGGGAGACATTTTCAAACAAAATGAAGGATATAATTAGAGAAATCACCAACAATATCAAACAATGGACATATTAAAGCTTCAGCTCATCATCTTCATTTTTATGTTAAAGTTCAGATGATAGAGAACACCATAAATCTAATCTGTACTCAGATAAATGATTCTGGGTTCATTTCAAGTAGTTGATAGGTGTAGATAGGTATATCTTAGTGGAAATAATTTATATATAGGTCCCCTGATTCAGGTCCACAGTTTTCAGGTTTTTTCTAAGTTAATCTGAATCCTCCGGATATAAGATAAGATATTTATTGGTCTTTATGTTACAAATTCATGTACACCGCAAAAGAAAAACAATACACATAATTTGTTTAGACAAGTCAACAATGGCAAAAGATTAACATAATATAAAAGGTATGCACTCATACCCCAATACAGGCTCAAATTTCAAAGATTAAAAACTTATAACTAAGATTAAAATTTCTATAAAATCAGCACCTTTCCGTGAAAAACACATAAGTATAAAATTCAATTCAAAACAATTCATTTGTGCCTTGTTTTATTTAAACAATTGACCATCCTACATCAAAAACCTCATTTATTGAGTAAAATGCTTGGCTTAAAAGAGACTGCTTCACCACAAATTTCAATTTTTTTATTGGATAGTTTTTCCATTCTTTTGGAAGCGTATTGTAAATTTTACCGTATAGGACTTCAGTTTGTTTTTCTGTTTTTATTAATTTTCATTTTCGCTGTTCTAATGACCTCTTTGCTTTTAGTATTATAATCATGTATCAGTGCTCCCGTAGTATATTTCTCTTTATTTTTGTTTACGTATAAGATAGCTTCCAGTATATATAAACATGGTACCGTGAGTCGTGAGAATCTCTAAATCAATGAAAATAGGTTTCGCATGATCTCTAAAATTAGCTCTAACCATCTCTCTGATTATTTTCTTCTGAGATATAATCTGAGTCCCTGGCTAACACCGATATTCTTTTCTTTCTTGGTATATAAATAACTATTCCATCCAGGCCGTTTCGTACATGCAATTTTCAGGAAAAGTTCCTAAAAAATTGCAAAAATTCCTGAATTTTGCAAAAATCGCAAAAATGCCTGAAAATTGCAGAAATAGCAAAAATTGCAAAAATTGAAATTTTCATGAATTTTTGCAATTTTTGCTATTTTTGCAATTTTCAGGCATTTGCGCGATTTTTGCAATTTTCAAAAATTTTTGCAATTTTCAGGAACTTTTGAAATTTTCATGAATTTTTGCAATTTTCAGGAATTTTTGCAATTTTCATGAATTTTTGCAATTTTTGCTATTTTTGCAATTCTCATGAATTTTTGCAATTCTCATGAATTTTTGCAATTTTTGCTATTTTTTGCCAATTTTCATGAATTTTTTGCATTATTTTTGCAATTTTTCAGGAACAATTCCTGAAAATTGCAAAAATTCCTGAAAATTGCAAAAAAATCGCAAAAAATGCCTGAAAATTGCAGAAATAGCAAAAATTGCAAAAATTCCTGAAAATTGCAATTTTCAGGAATTTTTTGCAATTTTTGCTATTTCTGCAATTTTCAGGCATTT